CACGAAGCGGCAGTTGCCTCATTCGATATGAGCAACGACCGACCGGAGTTCGAAGGCCGGCCCACGAAGGGCTCGAGGCCGCCCCACATCAAAGAGAGCCAGGAGAGAAAATGCAGATGCGCCCCATGCAGGCCTCGCCCAGTCTGCCCCTAAGCAGACAAGGTCATCTCAACCTTTTTGTTCGATCCTAAACCTCTGCCAAGCACACAGAATCTCCATCGAGGGGAGGCTACCAGGCCACCCGGGTCGGTCTCCGAAATGACCCAGGCATCTGTCGGGTTGTAGGTAAAGGAGCAGTGGAATGTTACAAGAGGGCTATGCTGACCCCATCACGAACGATGGACCCGGATTCCACTCGATCATACCTGTTAGCGAGCTCACCGAGCGCGTCACTCGAGCCCAAGCGATCGAGGCAAGCGACAAAGCTCAGCCCCTCTGGTTGTGAGAAACCGAGGATGGGGTAACGCACACAACTCAAACCGACCCCTACCAAAGCCCAACGGGGCTCGAGGTCTCAAGACACCAAAACATCTGGGTCTGCGACCCCGAACTCACCCCATCCCTCGGCTACGCCTCGACTGCACACCAAAAACGCCTGGATCTGCGACCCTGAACTCGCCCCATCAGGATCCGCGAATCTGGCTCGCCCGATCCCTAAACTAACTAACTAACTGCCTCAGCTACATGGGCTGCACCGAGGCCAGGATCCACGACTCCGACTCGTCCGATCCCACGGCGCGCACCGACGCCAGGACCCGCGAGCTCCGTCTCGTCCGATCCCTAAACTAACTGCCTCGCCCAATCCCACGGCGCGCACCGACGCTAGGATCCACGAGCTCTACCTCGCTCGATCCCAAAACTAAATGCCTCGGCTGCGCAACGACGCCTTGGTTGACGACTCCATCTCGACAAAAAAACACACATACGCCCGCTGAAAACCCCCCCAGACGATTCTGTCTGAATTGTCCGAGGGCTCGGGGGCTACACCCGCGGGTGCGCTCGCGCGCACCCGCCGACGAAACAAAAACCTCCCCCGCTGGCAACACGAAAAACCCCCCGAACGATTCTGCCGAATCACCCGGGGGCTTGGGGGCTACACCCGCGGGTGCGCTCGCGCGCACCCGCCGTCAAGACAAAAATCCCCTAGACGATTCTACCGAATCGCCCGGGGGCTCGGGGGCTCCTGTTGGGTTCATAAACCCGGGGTCCCTCGCGGGCCGGCTTTCCAACAGAGGCTCGGCCCTGCAGACAACGTTGCAAACAAAGAGCAACTCATGAGCTGCCCCAAGTACCTAAACAACAGGCCAGAAGGGTGATCCAATCACCGACCAGAAGGCCTAGCCGAGGAGGAACGGCGCCCGTTTCCGACTCCGGCCCACCTCTCCGACCGGAGCGCTCGCTTTGGTCTCCAGCCCGCCTCCGGACTAAAAGCATCTGGGCCCCTAGTTGGGTTTTGATGATTAATGACAATACAAGATTACTATGACTAATGTGTATTTTGTAGAGACAATTAAGTTAGGTCACGGTAATGGAGATCGATTGGACAATCATGGTGGTCATGCCCCTACGATGGAAATCGTTTCGGTTTTCAAAGGATGGACGACAAGGTTAAGGATGGACTAGTTCTAAGTGTCAATTGGAGTTGGAGAGACACTTAGAGTAGTTTAGGACTTTGTTTTTTCCTTTGGTCATACTATTAAGGGGGGTATGGACGGGTAGCTTGACCTAGGTGAGTCTAGTGAGTTAGGTGTGGTGCACACTTGTTGAAACTAGCACTAGGTAGCTCCTAAATATGCCTAAGATCCATTGGAGCAAACTTTATTCATATATGATCGAGAGTTGGAAGTGAATGGAGGGTCAAATATTGACCGGACGCTGGTTCCGGGTTGACCGGATGCTGGCGCAGAGTCCGGTCAGTTCATTTGACCAAGGTGATTGTGTCTGGTTTGACCGGACGCTGAGAGGTGAAGTGACCGGACGCTGAGAGCCCGCGTCCGGTCGAATCCAGTAAGGTTCCAGAGAGGAAAAATCACGACCGGACGCTGGCCAGCGTTCGGTCACACTGTAAACACTGGAGTTCGGGGTATACTGAACGGAGCGTCCGATCAATATGACCGGAGCGTCCGGTCACCCCGCAAAGACACATAACGGTTCGTTTTTCAGCCGGTGTTATAAATACAACCTCCACTCGTGTGTGGGGGCGCTTTTGTTCATTCCAACAGCTGAGAAACACGTTTGAGAGTGCCAAGAAGAGCAAGGTCCTAGTAAGGTGATTGAGATTTAAGAATCCCAAAGAGAGCCCTCATTAGTGAGATCAAGAGTAGCAAAGTTTGCATCCATCCATCTCATTAGACTTGTCGTGGTCAAGTGAGAGTTCGTGCTTGTTACTCTTGGTGATCGCCATCACCAAGACGGCTTGGTGGTGATTGAGAGCTTGGTGATCATCCGGAGAGCTTGTGGATGACCCAACTCACATTGTGAGCGGTTGTGGGTAATTCACCGCGACAGAGTGTCAAAGAATCAACCCGTAGAGAGCACTTAATCCTTGCGCGGATCAAGGGGGAGCTACACCCTTGTGCGAGTGCTCCAACGAGGACTAGTGGAGAGTGGCGACTCTCCGATACCTCGACAAAACATCGCCGCGTTTTCTCTCCTCTCTATTACTTTGATCATTTACTTTGAGCAATGCAATTCTTGTTCTTACATTCATAGAATTGCCATGCTATAGTAGGATTAGAACTTAGGTTGTAAGTCTTTTGTGCGTTAGTTCAATAGAAACACTTTCTAGGCACAAAAGGTTAATTGGGCTAACCGTAGAACTTAATTATTGCAAAAAAATTTAGAATTAGCCCAATTCACCCCCCCCTCTTGGGCATCTTGATCCTTTCACGGACGATCTCTCCGACCGAAATGCCTGGCCAAAGCACTACTTCTGACTCCGACCCGCGTTTCCGACCGGGGATACACTAAACCCCTGCTCACTGCTCTTTTCCGACTGGGACCAACCGACTGGAGACGCCCGCTCGGTTAGGGCCAGAAAACGGACGGAGAAAATAAGATAGGGCGCACAAGTCAAACCGCAATACTGAGGTCCGTACCCTGTACACCTGCGGAAACAATACTCTGCGACCTCCTTGGCACGTCAGAACCCAAGCAGTGTTGTAGGCGCCGATATTTTCCCCTACAGTATTGTGGGCGCCATTAACTCCAATACGGTAATGCTCCCCCACATGCCTCTGGGCATCGACAGTGTTGTGGGCGCCGACATTTATCGTACCAGGCAAACATTGTAAAACCCATTGCATGCCTCTAGGTATCAACAGTGTGGCAGATGCCGACGTCTGCTATACCCGAAGAAGACAACACAACCTCCCACGTGCATCTGACATTCAACAGTGTTGTGGGCGTCTACCATTATCTTGTACCCGCCGGCGTGGGAAGCAAGACTTAGCAGCAAACGTACTCCTTCCCTCTCACTTGTAAGGCCATCTCCTTCATCTATAAAAGGGGATACACTCTCTTCCAACAGACAGATTCATTAGATCGATCAAGTTCACTAGTACACAACAGCAGAACCACCAGGTTCAAACCATGAGCACACGCTCGAACACTTAGCACATAGCGGAGCTCCCGTCACTTTTGGTCCCTCCGACCAGAGTCGGATCAGACCTCTTGTACCCCCATCTTTCTCCTTCTCGTTTATAACTCTACTGCAAACTTCGAGCACCTGGGCTCTGGAATAAAGTCATCGACCGACTCAAACTGGACGTAGGGCACGTTGCCTGAACCAGTATAAACCATGTGTCATTGAGTGCTAGACCATCTCCGATCACAACGTACGGCAAAATTATAAATATTTACTTGTTAGTCACTTTCTGCACCGACACAATTACAAGGAAATAAGATGGTTAATACTAGTGCCCTGTTTGATTGGCTTATGAGCCGTATTTTTTCAGCCAACGAACAATATTTTTCTTAGTATTTTTCTCTCACAATAAATCAGCCAACAGTACTTTCAGTCATGGCTTATCAGTCAAACGAACAGGACATAGAACACAGAGCACGAATGCATAATGATTTTTAGTTTTACTTAAAAGTTCCAAATAGTGATTGCAAAGTTGTTAAACTTGATGTTGCGACATTCCAGAAAACAGTGCATTCTAAAAGTTAATACATGGTAAATTAAGGTCCCTTCAGCTGAGAAGCACGAACAGCAACACCAAAGCCATAGCTTAGTCAGACGACAGCATCATTTGAACGGTCTGCGCTCCTGAACTACAAGAAAAGCATACAAGCAGTGTGGCCTAAGAATCTTTTTTAACGAGATGACAATATAAGCGCATATACACGTACAAAAAAAATTCAGCAAACATCATCGATGTTACTTAAATTCAGCCACAACCAACTAAGTTTCCTAATTATTGTCATTAAGGGTCCGAAACACTTGCTACAAATATCATGCGACCACCAAGTCAGAAAAATTACCTAATATTCTGACCAGTACAGCATTAGAGTAGGAAGCTAAAAGGACGTGCAGTGTAGGTCAGTAGCTGTGCGAGGATGAGAGCATCTCAGGTGCTCCAGAGCACCTAGAGTGCTCCGGTCCTCCCGACCACAAGATACACCATCAAATATATACGTAAAATTCCAATAAAAATACGAATGAATAGATCACTATATATGAAATTTGAGTTTGAACAAAATCTATGTAAGGAGAAAAAAAGAAAAATCAGGATATGAATAGTTGCGTCCTGATTTCTCTTTTTTTTGTTTCTCCTTACACATGATTTTGTTCAAGCTCAAATTTCATATATACATAGATTGTGTGATCTATTTATTCATATTTTGGTTAGAATTTTTCGTACATATTTGATGGTGTATCTTGTGGTCGGGAACACCGCCACACCGGAGCACTCTAGGTGCTAGGAGCACCTGAGATGCTCTCGTGTGAGGATGCATTAGAAATAACCTCCATACGAAACTCTGGAGCTCCACCCGATTTATGCATAGCTCTACATAATTTCCACGTGCACAGTCCAAAGAATGAACACACAAAACAGTATCCAAGACTTACGTCACCAAAATTCCTGGTTGTTCGAGGCCTCTTTGAATCATTCCCTGCATGAGCAGCACATCGGTGAGACTCCTGAGACCTCCAGCGCATCATGGCTGCTAAAAACAAAACAAAAAAAAATCTTAGGCCAAAATAACTTGACGGCGTCATTTGTAGTAGCCTGCCAGAGTTAGTAACACATTTAAACAATAACAATTTCAGGGGGGCAAAGGAACAAGCAAGGTCTTCCCCCTAACCAATGGAATTAATCAGAACTGCAATGATGCGGCTAAATTTGGACCGTATAAAACAGTGTAAATTACCTTGCTTGGTTGCATATTCAAGTTGATGTCCTTGTTTGCTGAAGGGGTCTGGTTTGGCTTTAACAGTCAGTGCAGCCTCCAGTGGAAAAACTGCGGAGAAACAAAACTATCAGCTATCAGAAACTGCAGCTTGTTTTCACCTACAGAAATCATAATACTTTACCTTCTTTGGACACCATTTGCCTACCAGCTTGCAAAGCTTTATCTGAAAATCATGTGAGTTTTCCGGTCATCATGCAAATACAAAACAATATAAATTTCATGTGGTTTTACGTACTAATGGAACTCCGCAACACATTTGGGGGCGTTCTAGTTATGCTAGCTTGCAATCATGGAAGATCCAATCTAACTAGCATGGGTGTCTCCAACTTCACACTGAAGAGCATGCAAGTTTTCCAGTAATCACACAAACATGAATTCCAAGAGATTCTGCCAAGCAATGGAGCAGTGTAACAGATTTTGCGCTGTTCTATCTATGCAAGCTTGCACGCATGGAAGAACCAAAGAAATTATTACGCACATGGGCGTTTTATGCTACCAAATGATAATATCGATTAGCGCAATAAATGTGCAGACACAGGTGCAACAAAACAAGATAGAAAAGAGCATTACTCCTCAAAACAGGACATGGGGAAATATACACTAAGACACCATGGACATGTCAAAGAACACAAATTAAAAGCACGAACAACTGGCAAAGTAGCTTCACATACCAAGTAGTGAAATCAGAATCTCCCCATCACCCCTTTTTGATCCTGCTGTTGAAAAGCTCATTCATTAATCAGCGTGTCTGTATGTTATGAATCAAGGGCTAGACATGTTCTTAAGATCATGTGTATTGTGCTAAAAAGGATGGGACTATCTAGAGATATCCAGTAACATTGCAATTTGCAATACCTGAATCAGCATGAGTTTCTGGCTGACTTGAAGAAGGCAGCCTGCACAAACAAACATGTGTGAGTGTAAAATAAGCAGAAAAAAACAGCAAGAGTTTCAATTAATATGCATGTTGTACCTCTTCTTCAGCTGAAGATAGAACTGGGCAAGTTCTGTTGATTGTTTCTGGCCTAAGTTCTTCACTTGACGCCTTTGACGAAAGCTAGCAAGATTAGATCACATAGCCCGCAAGTCAGACGGTTAATACTGGAAAGTGCAAGTGACACCAGGCTGGAAGAAGCTTGCGACCGTGTGATGTGCATATATATGTGTGTACCTGGACCTAACGGGCATTACGTCGTACAGGTCGTTCTGGCCACGCGGGTAACGCATCCTGTCCTTGAGCTCGGGTGTCTTGTTGGCCATCTCCTCGACCATCTCTGCTGCCTTCTTCCTGACCAGTTGCCAATCCAGGGAGTTCCTGCAGCAGGAGTAACACCAGGAAGTAAGCATGCGCCACATCGATGCACTGATCAGTCGAACAAATGTGTAGGTACCTGAGGCCTCGAACAAATGTGTAGGTACCTGAGGAGCTGTGCGCGCAGGAAGAGGACATCGGCAACGATTGTGGCGAAGAAGGGGTTCTTGTCGAGCACAGGATGCCTGTAGATCCTTCTGAACCAGTCGCAGACGATGCCTGCGACTATGGTGTTGCCGTCCGCGAAGCCACTGATGGCCATGAGGTGTTCGAGGAAGAGGGAAAGAAAGTCGGCCTCCTTGCTCGATTGCGTTATGGGAGCGAAGTTGCGGACGTAGTGGAACGCCTCCCGCCACTGTCCTGCCTTGACCTTCTCCACCAAATCCTCCGTGTGGAAGATCACAAGCATCTTCTCTTTCGCCCTGCGATGTTAATCGACAAGAGGAACAATCAATCACACGAACGACGGCATGGACGAGGGGTCGGGCGAACAAAAGAGGGTTTTCACGGGACATACACATCGTAGGTCTGATCGCACCAGTACTCCCGGAGGTAGGCGAGAAGGCGGCGGAGACGGAGGCGCTCCGTGCAAGGATAATCCAGGGAGAACAGCAGGTCGCGCTTGCGCTTGCCCTTGCCGGAGACCGCCACCGCACCGCCGCCCTCACCGGAGAGCGCCTCCGCCGCAGGGACGCCCTCGCCGGAGACAGCCTTGTTGACAGCCTTGTTGACATCGAAAAGATCACGGGGGACTTCCTTGTGCCATTAAAAAAAATCGTAACCACTAGTGTGTCCCTAAAAAAGTTCAGTGGTCTTCAACAGTACTGCTCTAACTTTTTTGTGCCATCCATGTCATTGCGTTTGGACTCTAACACCGTCAAACGACAGGTGTGAAAAGTAAAAAATACCCTTATATCTAAATATGTCATTAATTTTTTTGAGCATCTTAATAACTTCAAATGAAAAAACTCAATACTAGAAAGTTGTAGATCTCGTCGAGATCTATAATTTTCATATAAAATTATTATCATTTAATTCCGTAAAAAAAGATATGATTTTTCTAAGAAATATTAATCATGTCAAATCATATTTTTTTTGCGGATTTAAATGAAGATAATTTTTATATGAAAATTATAGATCTCGACGAGATCTACAATTTTTTAGTTTTGAGTTTTTTCATTTGAAGTCGTTAAGATGTTAAAAAAAATTAATGACATATTTAGACATAAGGGTATTTTCGACTTTTCACACCTGCAGTTGACGCGTTAGAGCCCAAACTGACGGTAGTGGCATGGAGGGCACAAAAAAGTTAGAGCAGTGACGCTGAAGACCGTCGAACTTTTCTAGGGACACACAGAGCATTGCGATCTCTTTTAATGACACATAAGAAATTCCCCCAAAAATCATCTAGGGTTAGGTCTAGCGGGTTCTCTTTACTGTGAATGTGATATCGAGAGTAGAGAAACAGAGAGGAATAGAAGAAGAACGTGTCGAACCTGACACCGCAGAGGGAGATGGTCCAGAAGCCGCCATCTCGTTCGTCGGTGAAGTCTGCACACGGATAGCGACGTTCGGAGAAGAGGTCAATGAAGTCATCGACGTCGGTGGAGCGGGGCGACGCGGCTGGTGGCTTCCTGTCACTGGCTGCGCCCCTCTCTAATCGGGATTAGGGTTTGGGTTTTGGTGGGGAGCTCGGCTCACGGTAAACCTCGTACTCAGAGCCGTCGACCCCCACCTCTATATATAACGTAGTGTGACAAAGACCCTCCAGCCATAGTGGGCTGGGCGGCCCCGATTAGGGCGCGGATCAAAGGCCTAACTGGGTCGTTGGGCCCAGTTTAGGATTAGAGATCAATCTAACAATCTCCCCCTTTAATCTCCTACAATATTTCAATTTCATATCATTTACTTTTGTTCATTCCATTATAGATTATTGCATAGAGAATGTTTCATCGTCACGGTCAATTACCGATAGATTTAACAACTACAACACACCACTCTGTTCTGAAATAGATACTTAACTTTGGGCCTTCTTTTGTCCAGGAATTATGGGTTTTTCCTTAAACCCATGCTGGCTACATGTTCTCTGAACACGTTGGGTGGTAAGCCTTTTGTAAACGGATCCACGAGCATCTTTTCGATACTTATAGGCTCAAAACTTATGATATGATCTCGGACTTTATCTTTCACAACATAATACTTTATGCCAATGTGTTTGGCAGCACCACTTAATTTATTATTGTGAACATACTGTACTGCCGGATTATTAACGCAGTATAACTTAAGTGGTCTATAGATGTCGTCAACCACCTTTAAACCGAGTATAAACTTCTTTAGCCAGTTCACCTGCCCCGTTGCCTCATAACACGCTATAAACTCGGCATACATTGTGGATGATGTAGTGACGGTTTGCTTTGAGCTTTTCTATGAAATAACTCCCCTACGAGAGTGAATACATATCCAAACGTGGATTTTCTATCATCTCCCGCATAATCAGAATTTGAATATCCCACTATATGGAGTGAATCTGATTTTCTATACGTTATCATGAGACTTTTCGTTCATTCCAAATAACGCAAGACTTTCTTTAATAATTTCTAGTGTTCTGTTCCAGGATTACTCTGGAATCTGTCAAGTAATCCGGTAACAAATGCCAAGTCAGGTCACATATATACTTGAGCATATTGCAAGCTTCCGACAGCTGAAGCATATGGAACCGTTTTCATTTGATCGATCTCATACTGATTCCTGGGACATTGAAAATCTATATATCTGTCGTCCTTGACTATAGGAGCAGGTGAGAGATTACATTTGTGCATATTAAATTTCTTTAAGATCTTTTTTGTGTATGCTTTTATGACAGTCTTAATACCCCTTTACTTCTATCTCAATGAATCTCGATCCCTAGAACGAACGAAGCTTCACCAAGATCTTTCATATTAAATTTTGAAGACAAAAACTTCTTTGTCTCCAGCAGTAGACTGACATCACTACTAGCAAGTTAGATATTATCCACATACAGGACAAGAAAGATAAACTTCTCATTTTTAAACTTTGCATAGACACAATTGTCCTCTACATTCTCTTTAAACCCAAAATTTCTTATTGTCTGATCAAACTTCAAGTACCATTGTTTTGAAGCTTATTTTAATCCATAAATGGATTTCTTTAGGCGGCATCCCATTCGTTCTTTTTCTTCCATGACAAAACCTTCCGGTTGTGCCATGTAAACATTTTCCTCCAAGTCCTTGTTGAGAAATGGCGTCTTTACTTCCATCTGATGTAATTCTAAATTGTAATGTGCTACTAATGTCATTATGATTATGAAGGAATCCTTACATGAGACTGAAGAAAAGGTCTCATTGTAATCAATCCCTTCTCTTTGCGTAAAGCCTTTTGTCACGAGTCACGCTTTATATCTCTCTATATTTTCTTAAGAGTCAAGTTTTGTTTTGTAGACCCATTTACAACCTACTGTTTTGGCTCATTTAGGAATTATTTCTAAGTCCCAAACTTTATTGACATTCATAGATTTCATTTCATCTTTCATGGCCTTAAGCCACTTTGATGAATGATCACTTCTCATGGCTTCTTCAAATGAGGTGGGATCATCCTCAATTTAAAATTCCTCAGTGTTGTATACTTCATAGTCATCAAGAATAGCTGATTTTCTAACTCTTTGAGACCTTCTAGGGGCCTCCACATTTGGCACATCTTTTGTTTGAGGCTGTTATTGCTCCCCCTCATATGTGGCAATAGGTTCTACAGGATCCTAAAGAACATGTTCCTCATCGTCATTCATTGTTGTCACAGACGGAATAACAACAGGTGCTGGCACCATAGTATCTTACACTATCGGTGTAGCGACAGCAGGTAGTGAGAAAAATGGCTCATGAATCATCGGCGTGGGAGCATACACCCGCTTCTCTTCAAGGTCAATTTCTCGAACTATCATGCTCTCCCTCATCATTTCATCCTCTAAGAAGATAGCGTGTCTCGTTTCCACAAACTTTGTATGTTTGTCTGGACAGTAGAAACAAAAACCTTTTGACTTTTCTGGGTAGCCAATGAAATGGCAACTTACTGTTTTGGGATCTAGCTTTCCAATGTTTGGGTTAAATACTTTAGCCTCAGCAAGACTCTCCCACACACGTAAGTGGTTTAGTGAGGGTACTCTTCCTGTCCACAACTCATACGGTGTTTTGAGCACCGACTTACTTGGTACTCTATTGAGAATATGAATGGCGGTTTTTAACGTCTCCATCTATAGACTCAACGGTAAAGTGGAGTAACTTATCATACTGCGCACCATATCCATCAGGGTACGATTACGTCTTTCAACTACTCCATTCTACTGAGGTTCGCCCGGTATAGAATACTAGGCTACTATGCCATTCTCCTATAAGAACCTTGCAAAAGGTCCAAGAACTTTGCCATACGGGGTATGCCGACCGTAGTACTCCCCCCATGGTCGGACCTGACTATCTTAATCTTTAAATTATGTTGGTTTTCAACTTCTGCTTTAAATATCTTAAATTTATCCAATCCTTCTGTTCTTTCTTTGATTGGATAAATATAGCCATAACGGGAGTAATCATCTGTGAATGTTATGAATGAATCATTACCATCCACACTCTTTATAGGAAATGGACCACATATGTCTGTGTGAATAATCTGTAAAATTCATGTGCTTCGTTTAGCATCTTTCTTAATTTTTTTACATACTTTCCTTTTATACATTTTCTGCATTGTTCTAAATCTGAGAACTCTAATGGAGGAAGAATATCATTCTTAACTAGTCTTTCTATTCTCCCCCTTGAAATATGGCCTAAATGATAGTGTCATAATTTCGACGATACATCGTAAGCTCTCTTTCATTTTCTGTTTACATCCGTAGACGAGGATACATTCTCATTGTCGCAAGCAACGTTCCCATCATCACATACAACATTCACATCATCATGTAATGATAACAAATAAAGCTCATTTTGTAAGATAGCAAGACCAACACATGCATTATTAAATGTTATCTTACATTTGCCATTTCTAAAATGGCAATCATATCCATCATTGTCCAAGCATGAAACATTAATCAAGTTTCTCTGTAAAGAGGGAACATAAAGTACATCTCTAAGTAAAAGTGTGAAGCCATCAGCAAGCTCTAAAAAAAGATCGCCAACGGCTTCAACATCTGCTCGGACTCTATTTGCAACTTTAACGTGTCTTTCTCTTCTTTGCGTAGTCCTCGTCGAACGGAATCCCTGTAAGAAATTAGCAACGTGAACAGTTGCACCTGAGTTAATCCACCAAGTAGATTTCGAATACTGTACATACAGGGATTTATTTATGAACGTAATAATGTTCTCACCTTTATTTGCCATGATCATCTTTAAGTAATCGAGACAATCTTTCTTATAATGTCATATCTTCTTGCAATAGAGACATTGGTCTTTCTCTACTGTGAACTTGTTCTACTGAGGCTGATGCAGCATGGGACCCTTTCCCTTTGACTTTGAGGAGTTAGCATTATTATTCTTTTTCTTGTTGTCTTTTACATAATTGATAGTGCCACAATTGGTAGTTTTCATTCTCTCCTCCTCTCGCACACATATAGCCATGAGCCTCTCTAAGTCCCACTTCTCGGGCTGTATGTTGTAGTTGACAACAAAAGTGTCAAATTCCTTTGGCAAGGAAGCAAAAATCAGATGGATAAGAAACTCTTCCTTCAGAGCCAGATCCATTGGTTTTAGCTTGGATGCCAAATTGCTCATCCTTAGTATGTGCTCTCTTATGCCACAATTTTCAGAGTACCTCTCTGTCACCAGCTGCTTTATCAGCTGGGTAGCATGTCTTTGAAGAGCCAATGAACTGACTCTTTATTTTATCGAGGTACTCGATGACTGTGTCACACTCTGGGATTGAGCCCACAATTGCAGGCTCAACCGTGTTCTTTTTCACAGCCAAACATTTCTTATTGACAGTGACCCACTTCTTATGCTCAAGGTCATAGGACATCTTTTGTGATTCAAAATCTCTCTCTAGTTGCCCAAGCGACATCAGCCTCGTTAGTCTCCCTCACCGGTGCCACAGGCTCAGTGGGACACGGTGAGATGACTACTCAGTCCACCTCAGCCAAGATAAAGGTCAGATGAATCTTTTTTCTTCTACTCCGTGTAGATGTCACCTTTGAGAGTGGAGATCTCTTTGATACAACCCATCAGGTTGTATCTGCCTGAAAACACAATTCATATAGAGTGAGAACATAAATAATAACAACAATTGCATGACTTGATTCCAACGTTGGTCAAACTTAAAACATACAACTGTTTATACATTAAATCTACATCACCGTTGAGCAGAAATAAAAATAATGCATAAAATCATTAAAATTACGATATTGTTATTAACAACGTTGGTCAGAAAATAACAACATTATAATCATGTCAAAATCTCTTTTTCTTCAATTAAATATCATGTTGGTTCAAAATAACTGGAGAATAAATAATTTCTTTAGCAGCGGAAAATGTAAAAAATTTATTATCTATTTTTTAGAAGCATTAAACTTTTCTCAACTATTCTCTAAAAAATTATCCCGTTGGTTCAAATCTTAACAGAGATATTAAACTAGACAAATATCATCAAAAAATTGCTTCTGAAAAAATAAAACTTAAACTCATATGAACACTGTTCATTTGGCCCAAACCAGCTGGAACAGTGAATTCTGGCCCGGCCTGTTTCTGTTCTCGCGCGCGCTGTGCTTCCCAGGCCGCAACCTGGGCCTGGGCCGGCAAAGCCGCCCACCGCGCGTGCCTGCCTAGGCCGAAACGCGGTCCAGTCGTTGTCAGTCGTTCATCTGCATCGGACGGTCGCGCGCGCGGTTCGGTCGAACAAAACCCCCCTGCACGGCGTCCTCCCCCGAACCCTAACGCATTTGGCTGACTCTCTTCCTCTCTCTTGGCCGCGCTCCTTCCCTCTCAGCGCAGCAACAATGAGCGACCGAGAGCGAGACGCGAGACGCAGTGAAGCATGGCGCCGACGCCGGCGCGCGCGCTCCCCACGCGGATGAGCGCGCCACCGTCGAGCGGACTAGCGGCGGTGCCCTTTGCCAGAGCTCGTACAGCTCGGCCGTCTTCCCGTGCGCCGACGAGGCGGCAGCGCGGTGCACGGCGAGGTAGGCCCTTTCGCCTTTTCCCCTTTTCTTCATCTCATTTTGGATCTTCTTCTCTGTTCTTCTCGGATTTCATCTGATTGGGGATTAGGGTTAGAGTTGAGTCAAGTTAGGGTTTGACTCACTGGAGTCACTATTCATCTTTCCCAGCGAGTGCTTCGTGGGTTTGAGCTGGATTCGGGTTCTTCTTGAAGCCGAGTCCCTCTTCTTCTTACTGCTTTCATTCACCCTGTTAGGGTTAGGGTTCGGTGACCCTCTTCTTTTCTCATATCCGAACAGATCTAATCTGTTTCTTACTCCTGACATGATCTACATCTAGACAGAGGATTCCGATAGGCTAGATCTATACCCAGTGAGGCTCCGATACCATTGTTGAGATCGAAAAGATCAACTAGGGTTAGGTCTAGCGGGTTCTCTCTACTGTGAATGCGATATTGAGAGTAGCGAGACAGAGTGGAGTAGAAGAACGTGTCGAACCTGACACCGCAGAGGGAGATGGTCCAGAAGCCGCCATCTCGTTCGTCGGTGAAGTCTGCGCACGGGCAACGACGTTCGGGGAAGAGGTCAATGAAGTCATCGACGTCGGTGGAGCAGGACGACGCGGCTGGTGGCTTCCCGTCACTAGCTGCGCCCCTCTCTGATCGGGATTAGGGTTTAGGTTTCGGTGGGGAGCTCGGCTCACGATAAACCTCGTACTCAGAGCTGCCGGCCCCCACCTCTACATATAGCGCAGTGTGACAGGGGCCCTCCAGCCATAGTGGGCTGGGCGGCCCCGATCAGAGCGTGGATCAAAGGCCCAACTGGGCCGTTGGGCCTAGTTTGGGATTAGAGATCAATCTAACAAGCCTCCCCCACAAAGGACGCCCTCGCCGGAGACAGACTCCCCCGCAAGGCCGCTCTCGCCGGAGGCGGCCACCGCCGGTCACTCGCCCTCGCCTGAGGCGGCCACCTCCGCTCGCTCGCCTTCGCAGGAGACCTCCACTGCAGGACAGCCCTCGCCGGAGCTCGTCATCGCTCTCAGGAAGATGTTGATTCGGGGGGGTTTGATGCAGAGGAGGGTTTCGGAGAGGTGGCCGGGCGAGGAGGGACGGGATCAGCATATATGGGAGGAGGAATCAGGGCGAGGGCGAGGGGTGAGTGAGAGTGCGAGGGCAAGAAGAAAATTCTATCTATGGATGATGGGTGGTCCAAAGCCCCGTACGTGCGCTCCTATCATGGATGGCTGCCGTGTGGCGCCTCAAAAAATCACATGGGACAGGAGGTGCCAAACTGGGAGAAGACTGGAGAGTGAAAGGCCATCACCATTCAGAGGCAACTCAGGCAAGTACAGTGCAAGGCCATCAGATGTGAAGACAGTGCAAGGCCACGGGGCGCGAGAAACGATCACGACACTGACTTTGCTTGCAATTGTAGCAGGTCCAGGTGCATAGAGTGGCATGCACATAGTAAAGATAGAGAAACTGGCTGGTTGTTGTGAGAGAAATACTGTAGCGACTGATTGATGAATAATGTTTTACGAGGAGCAGCCGGCTGGTCTAAAAAAACCAGACCAGCGAACACAGCCAGAATATTTTAGAATGCACTTCTCCTTTAGAATGAGGGCATATTTTGGTGGGCACAACAACAAAAAAAATCAACAGTACAATATATAGGAGTATACAGAACTGTAGATACAATGGCAGCCGGACTATTTAGCTTGTTTTTTCAGCTTATAATCCGCACTATTCAGCTTGTTTTTTTAGCCGGAACAATATTTTTCTCTCACAACAATTCAGGCAGAACAGTATTTTTCAGCCAATTCAGCCAAGTTTCAAAAGCTGAACGGGGCCAATGAGAATGCAGGATTTGCTGTTACTCAACGGTTACAAAGCTTATATTAAACTCACTGCTGCCAGGGTAAACTAACTCGCTATGGTCTGAACCTACCGACTAGAATACTCAGAAGCCAATAAATATTAACAGAAGATAAGATTATCTATGTGGAACATATCAGCTACAGACACCGTAGGAACCAATAGAACCACGAATGCATCGCTGGTAAAAGTGTGAAACAGTTGTAGCCTACTTTCAGCTTGAGATGCTCTCATGCTACATCATCAACGGGAAAATTTTCGCCTTTTGTTGAGACTTGCTAGCATGTCAGAGTAAGACTGCAGGTTCACATCAGCATCTTCATCGTACTCGAGACCAAGTTCTTCCTGCAGTACATATTGTTCATCAGCATCATGTGGTCGTCACAAATAGAAAATGTAAATGAAAAGAAACTGTGACAGCTAAAAGAACTAGTAGCAGTTAAAGTCTACCACCATCAATGTGCTAAATGCTCGATCAAAGGATATACTAGGTACTAAGAGCAGTCATTTTTTTTTTGGGGTGGGGGGGGCAAGAACCTTGAATTCCTTCTGATCTTTTGGACTATTCTCAGTAATATTATCCCAAAGCTCCTTGAACATCCTCTTCCGCTTTTTCCATTGGTTAACTTTCTCAGCAAAGGAATTCTCAATGATCTTCTTGTCCTCAGGTTTCACCAAGGTAACACCACTACGCAATTTAGTTAGTTTCTCTTCCATTTCCTGGACCTGAACAAATATGTGTCCTGCAATTAAAACTGGTGCAAAGGAACACAGACAGATAATAATGTGCAGAAGGGAACATTTTCTTTTAACGAGATGACTGCTTATATTGACAGCAAATAAGCTTCATAGAAGAGAACATTTGCACCTACTTCGCTTTGTAATTTAGTCTGCTTTGACGTAACCTCTGCCAATGTCAAGTTTGACTGCAGACCTCGTACCTCTGTAGAAGATTTATATTTAGATCTTTTTCAAATATGATCTTGTTTACTGCATTTGGTAGACCACTAGCAAGACCATGGTACCAGTTTGAAGTTTGGAACTCACCAGATTCAACCTCACTAATTGCTTTCTTTTGATCCGCGAGTTCTTCCTGTAACTTGGCATTTGTTTTCTTCATCTCCTCAAGTTCTTCGCTATTTGGAATTTCAAATTGATCTTGCCGAGCAATGTAAATTTTCTGCTTGCCATACTCCTTGAAGGAAATCTGTCCACTGTCAGCCAATGCATCCAGTGCCTTTTGTACTGCAGTCTTCTTAAGATTAAACTTCTGTAGTGCATCAGCTGCATTCTGTGAATTCAATGGCCTGTTTTGCTGCAGAGTCATGGTAAAGTCAACTATATGGTGCTCAGAGCTAAGAACAAAATACTCGAAGCTGAGCAAGTCAAACTTCATTCCAAAATGTAATATATTAGTTTTGCACAAGTCAAACTTCTCTAGCTTTGACCTGATTTATTGAAACCGTATTAACCTCTACAGAACCAAACAACTGCAATATCAAGTATTTCTTGGTGGATTTAATGAAGTTAATTTGATGCTGTAGATATTGGTGCATTTTTCTATAAACTTGGTCAAAGTTTGATAAGTTTGACATAGGATAAAATTAAAACATTTCATATATTTGGAATAGCGGGAGTAATTATTTTTTTATCCAGCATAAAATTGAAGAACTGTGTACAAAACCCTTTCCGAATAACCTCATTTTATAGCGACAGTCACATACACTATTTAGGTACATCAGTATACTGAGTTAATTTCACCTAAATTAGGCAAGAGCAGTATCTGACGGAAAAAGACAGTATACTTCCTCCCCATCTTATTGGAATTCAGAAGGAGACTGCACTTAGTTAACTGGGAAATTAATGTCCTAGAAACATAAATAAAACTCTTAAAGGGGAAAAAACAACCTGCAGTAATATCTCTGGCATGGAAGCAAAAACAACCTACACTGAACAGCAAAAGCCAAAACTGATCTGCAAAAGCATTGTACTTTTTGCATTTGTAAGCTCTTGTGCATCATAAACTCTAAGCTCAGAGAGTACAGTTGAAATAGAGCCTGATTAATTATCACCGTAGTTAAAGCCTGATTAATTATCACCGTAGTTAAAGTAGCACCAAGAGGAGTCAACATTCAACTGAAATTAATCTAAACTTTTGTTCTATTCAAGGGATTAGCTTAAAATTCATATTCTGGCCACAGAATGGATTACACACTACCAAGTTATCTAGCTGCATTCAGCAGGTGATTGCAAGTAGCTGCTAAAATGGAGGACGACTGCAATTACGATCATTCAGAATAATGATCAGCGACAAGGTGATGCCAGTCGCAACTAACATACACCGATTAATCAGAATGGTGACCAGGGTTTTCATATGATACTAACTAACTTCACCTGAACCTACAGAAAGACAACATGGACAACGACCAGTATTCATCAAACAGCATGATGCCATCAAGCGCAATCAATACACCTTGCCATATTAATCCAGTCAGTTTTTTCGCATCCATACAATCCTAACGATTTCTGAATAATTCTATACAGCTCAAGACTCCATAAGTACCACACGGAGGGAGAATCAAATCCTAATTGCGCGAGCAGAAGCAGGGGTTTAGGGTTTAGGGTTTAGGGGAGAGAGACACCGCACCTCATTGACGAAACCCAGGACGATTCCTGCAAAAACGAAAGAGGAAGAAACGGCACCGTAAAATCATCAGAAAACCTGATCAGGCCGAGCTAAGGATTGAATCGGTAAGTTTTTCAGCAAAAAAGAAAAAAAGAAGAAGAAAAGGGGACCATAATACCATTTCGGTTGGGAGGGGTAGGAGTGAATACCTTCAACGCTATCGGATTTAGGCGGCATGCCTCCTCAACCGCCCGCCACGCCGGCGCGGCTTTGCTTGCTGCTGCTCGGCCTCGGCGATTTGAACGAGACGAAGGGGAAAAGTGGGGGCGAAGGCGAGCGCCGGCGGGTAGATGGATTGTTCGGGAAGCGAAACGGGGCAGCTGTCTTGGCCCGTGGCCGTGGGCTTGGCGTGGCCTCTCTCTGTGCGAGTCACTGTCTCACTGACAACACGGGACCGCCTTGGTTGGTGACGCGGGAGATTTCCCGCCCAAAACACTACACCCGAAAACGCGTGGCGTAGGTGCACACGACCCTCCTGTGCTAGGCTGCTAGCTGATGAGTGATGAAGCCCATGGAAGCCCATCGATGCGGAGAATTTGAACCCAGGGAGAGCCCCGGCCCCCGTTCCTTGACCATTTGACGTTAGTATGTACGGGGTCTGTCATGTGTGGCCGTGTTTGCTACGAGCCAAACGAAAAGTACACGGACTGTCCGTTTGGCTGGGCTGGATCGTTGTTGGTTTGTGAAGAAGTACTGCTGGTTGGTTTAGTGTGAGAGAAAAATATTGTTCCGGTTGAAAATTTACGATCGTTTACGACAAGCACAAGCCCACTCACCATCATTTTATGTAGCACTGAACTCAAACTCTTTTTTAATTACATAAGTACAGACGCAAACGCTCAACACACAAGTCCACTCACCCATACGAACATACGTATGCAAACCATACCCGGCTACCCCTATGAGCACCTTAGAAAAACTATGCCGACACATCTTGAGATTGATGAAGTCACCACAAACGCCTCTAATGCGGAAGCGGAACAATAATGCTATGGTAATGCTCTGAATTGGGCGTCCGTCTGCCCGGACGCTCCGTTGCTAGGCCACGACGCCAGCCCAACAACCCACGCTCCTTCGTTTCTAAAAAAAACTACTTATCCATTTATTCCTATCCACACGTTCCTCTTCCTATCGCTCTTATCCACTCGCCTGCCGCCTTCGAGCGCACGACCGCCGGCCGCACGACGCGCGGCCGCCTCCCGAGTCGCAGCGCTCGGCTACGGCCCTACCATGCGTGGTACGCTGCTGCCCTCTCCAAGTCACGCGGCTGCGGCCTCCCCGCTGCTTGTGCGGCCGATGCCTCCCTTCCGCGACGTGCAGCCATTGCCGCCAGGCCACTGCCTCCGGTGAACACCACACACCGACGAGCCTCCATTCTGTCGAGCAGCAAAGAAATGTTGCGTTGAAAGCATATGTAGCAAGAGTATGTTCCAATTGTTACAGATGTATGTTGCAAGTGTTTCATATGGATGTTGCAAAAGTAGATCGTGATGTTGCAATGGCTGTACACGTATGTTGCAAGCGTCCGTTCCAAATGTTCCATCTGCCTTTTTCAGACGTATGTTGCAAGTGTGCTTATTTGGATGTTGTATATGTTTCACGCACATATTGCAAGTGTATGTTCCAAATGATTTATCTGCTTTAGACTTATGTTGCATTCAAGTGTTTCATGTTGCAAGTGTTTCATGTTTTAGATGTATGTTTATAGAGACATGGGGGCACAGCCCGGAGGCCGGGGAAGGGGCACGCAATGCGCCTAGGGTCATACAGACGGGGCGTGCTCGTCCTCATCCCAACTCCCAGGTCCCGCCCGCACGGAGAGGGAGGACGGGGTCAGGCCCGCACGGAGAGAGAAAAAATGGGTCAGGGGCAAGACGGACGGGGGTGGGGTACGCGTGCGTGGCGGGATGAGGCAGTCGGGGAAGGACCGTAGCGATACGGTGAGAGTGCAGCGCGTTTCTGCTGGGCCGTTCGGTACCGTCCGATGGAATCCTATCCCATTGGGGCCAACAATTCCCATAATGCTATGCTCAACTAAACTTTATATACGAACACTTTACACTTGAACTCGAACTCTAGTGCAGGACATGCTCATACTGGCAACTGCGATCAACTATAACGTACTAGACCTTTCGAAAAATATAACATATTAGAGGTAAGCAGAGCGCCAGCCACCACAGCTCACCACACTTTGTCACGAATAGATCAAAATGCTAGGTAAATATTTTTACAAGCAGGCAAACCGAGGAGATTCAAATTTTGTGTAAACAAATCATAACTATGATTAGTTTTTTCTCGAATTCGAATTCAGATACAAACATCATAGATATCTACTTTGAGTATCCAGATACAATTCGGGTATTGAACGGTCAAATTCGGATACGGATTATCAATTTACTACATGTATCTCTTCAGTCAGATAGTCGGTCAAAAGTTATCCATACCATTTAAACAACTTTATCCGTTAAATTAAAATCTTTAGGACAAAAAGATCCATGGTAGATGTAGAGCTCAGAGCTCACCACAAAACTCTCATGCTCTCATCCATAACAAACACTAGTGCAACTTTATTCATGACCATACTTCATTATTGTTGACAATTATTCATGGTCAAATATGTTTCATGGGCTTTTCAAATCAAATCTTATAGAAAGAAAACAACCAATCAGCACCGGACCAACAGATTTGAAATAGGTATTCTCCCTCATTTCCAATTATAAGTCGCTTTGACTTTTTTAATTCATCAATTTACCTATGTATCTAGACATACTATGTATCTAGATACATAGCAAAATGAATATACTAAAAAAGTCAAAGCGACTTATAATTTGTAACGGAGGAAGTATATATTAATTATTATACTAGCCCGCGGGCCACGGCGGAAAAGCTCTACAAGCCAAAACTCTGATAGGAAGAAATGCTGTCGCCTCGTGTATAGATATCAGAGTACACAAAAGTGTCAGCCTAAGTGATGCCGGAACAGAGAGGCCATCTCAATCTGCAGGGAACTTGAGCTTGTCACATGATAATAAATCTATGTTTATTTGAAATTAAGATTGCCGACGGAAGGTTTACTTACGGCAGTAAGAGCAGCTTCAGCACCCTTGTTACCAGCCTTGCCACCAGCACGGTTTAGCGCCTGCAGTATTCGATTTAGCATTCTCAGCAAGGGTTCGATAAGAAGCAAAACAGTGCACATGTTTTGAAAAGTAGTCAGATAATCAACAAAAAAGGGTCACACTATTGACATGAAACTTTTTCATCACAAGGGAATACTTGAGTGAAACCTCTCCTTTGCTAATGTGACCAATCTGGATTAAAGATGTCACTACTTTACAGGTCATGGAAATGTAATGATAGCGCCTGTAGCATGCACAAATAGTGGGCACTCAAAATAAAGTTAGCATATGGCTTGGGAACTTGAACAAAAGCATTTTGACCAGCAACAAAAATGACTCTTGGCCAGTTTACAGGTTTCTACTGGTCAGAATCTTTCAAAGTAGAAAATATTCAAAAAGGCATCAAATGAACATAACAGAGCTCAAACAGCAATTATTTTTTCAAAATACAACTTAGAACTACCCCCAGAAACTGATTGGTTTCTACACATATGGGATGTGGGCCAGAAATCCAGTAACAATAGAGAACTACCACCTGCTTTGGATTCCAAACATGATCTGGTGGCATGTAAAAACTGATAAGATGTATACATGTAGTCATGTACATAATCAAATCATGAAGTACCTGATCCATGTCTTCACACGTTAGAACACCAAATACACAAGGAACACCTGCATCACCATTAAAAGCCAAAATAATCTGAATGTCTGATTATTAACTGAATTAACCACCATAAAGAAAAAACAAGCCGAGCACACTGCACAGTTCACTTAATGGCCCCGTTCGTGTGCCCTTAAACCCAGCTTGATTCGCTTATTTTTCATCCGAGCAACAGTATTTTCTCTCAAATTCCTCCAAAGATTCATCCAAACCATCCAGATTCCTCCAAAATTCAGACAAGCGAACAGGCCCAATGTTGCGAATTACTTTTATAGCACCAGCTATACAGCTATGAGCTATCTCATATAATCATATAACCAAAACCATCCAGTCCCACACTAGTTGCTCACATTAACTATTGTAGATATATGTAAGCTGTACCTGCCTCGAGTCACTTGACATGCAAAATTTTAGTCTACCCCAACTTGCTTTGCTTGGGACTTTTTTTGTACTTATATATGCATATTCGCCGAGAAACAATTAAACATATAAAAAAGTCTCAATACCTGCAGGAACATGTTTAAGAGCACAATATTTCAACTTGCTAGCTAGACAACCTTTTTAACACCAAAAAGCTAGAAGAAAAATATACTTAGAATTACCCCAAATGAGACAGGAAGCTCTCTACTGCATGACACATGAGAGAACTGAAGACAACATACCAGCAGATAATCCAGCATTGAGTACACCTGATGCAGCTGAGTTTGCAACAGCATCATAGTGGGTTGTGTCACCTCTAATCTGCAAACCAATTTTTAGGAACACTTCCAAAATTAAAAAGAACCAGCTACTGCTAAATGCTATCAATGAGCTTCCAAAATATAGGTTAAATTTGATAGCACCACACGAGCATCATGATGAGCTTGCAAAATATAGGTTCAATTTGTTATTGTTAGTTGTTACCTAGACCTATGCTATTTGATACAACCATTCATAGATGTTATAAACTTCATATGGATAAGACATGTTAAGAACGAGATATCCCCAGAAGCCATGTACTATCAAATGGTTCCACAAGTAAAAAACAGATTGAAACATTAAATGGCTTCTACAGTTCCTTGTTTTTTTCTCAGTTCTAATTGACAGGTGGATGTAACATTTCGTAGCTCAATGTAAAATTAAAGAAGGATCAGTTCCAAAAAGATGTTCAGAGGGTAGTTTACAAAAGCACAGGTCTATTAATCTTCTTTGTAATTCCTCATGTGCACAATTCATGGGGACGCATAATGTAAAATGTGAGAGGATATATCTAAATTGTTATAGTATTAGGAAAATAACCCTTAAAGGGACAATACTCAGTGCTACTTACTCAACATGCTAAATCAACATCAAATGAGAAGTAGAAAGCGATAAAAATTCAAATGTGTAATGTGGAAATGACATGAAACTAATCAAGCAATCAACTCACCACAGCTCCAATGCACAGAATCACATCAAATTTTCCAGATTTCCCAAGCTTTTGTGCTGTTATAGGAACTTCAAAGCTTCCAGGAACACTAACAACCTAAAGAAGAATTTGAATCTGAGTAAAATTGCGTTTTCTAGAAGTTTCTGAAACATTTTAGAAGTGTATAGAACTGTGTAGCTCGTCACTGACGTTATTTGAAGTCAATGTCTGAAGAAGATGAAGAGTAAAATTCTACATGGTGCATTTTTCTGTATGCTTTTTGTAACAAAGATTTTATATGGTAGCAGCTTTCCTATTCAAGTGCATATTATGCTCCAGATTTTAAGACATTTTTTTAATAATTCAAGGTATTTAATACTACTAGTGATTACCTAACATTAAATATACAATGCTACATGGCATTCATCAAATGTAAAAGGGCGTACCCGGTGCAGAGAGCTCCTGCTCTGTGCGGGGTCTGGGGAAGGGTGTTAGTGGCAAGCCTTACCCTCGCCTGTGCAATGCGAGGAGACCGCGACTCGAACCCGGGACCTTCCGGTCACATGCGGTAAGACTCTACCGCTTGCACCAGGCCCGCCCTTCATGGCATTCATCAAATGTACATAAGAATAATTCAGAGACAAAATCATGAAATGAACTAGCTATCTATCACTCATTATCATAGCGGCAATAAGCATTGAGGATGGTAGTAAGGAAATAACTAAAGATATTTATTGGCCCTGACAAACTACATTTCCTACTATTCCAGAATATTTAGTATGCACAATTAAATAAACAAAGGACAAGGCTTTAGAAGTTAAATAGTCAACCCCATTAAGTACACTAACCATTCAAAGATAGTTCTTTGTATGGCTCGTGGGTCCTTAATGAAAAAACCATCAGGATGGAGCGTAAGTATACAAGTATACTCAATAGGCCTACTAGTTTTCACAGTTGTGATAAAGCAATAAGGATCAACATTACTTGCAAGAAATTCCTTAACATCAGAATGACACTGGACAACTTCAACCAACCAGAAGAGAGAAGCTACATACTGTTATATTTTCTGCTTTAACAGAGTATCGCTCGAAAGTTTCAAGAGCACCCTGCAGTAACAAGTTTGTCACAACCTCATTGAACCGTGCCACAACCTACAATTAAATAAGGAACCAAACAGTCATTGGATTGTGCATTCAAAGGTAAAAGGTGTGAAAGTGCAGGAAAGCACTGTTTTTTCAAAGAAAAGCATATTAGTAAGTTATGGCTTTTGTTCACTAAGGTCCATCGACGTTCCATCATTCTATATCAAAGGAATATGTGCTTCTCGATTAAGTAGTGCTCAACTAACCACCCCAAACCTGAGCCCCTCGTTGCTGGTCAAAGATCCCATCAACTTCTGGTGCCCCGCGGCGGCAACCACGTCAGAGTGCCGCGACAATCCAGTGCACGAGGTTAGTGCGGCTGACCATGCTGCACGAAGCAAAAACAAGAGGAATAAATCAAGACAAGTAGAGCAGTGATGGTTAAGGAATTGAGGCAAGAATGGACGCGTACGACGAGAGGGGAAGGAGACGGTGGCGGGTGCAAGCCTCAGGGGCATGTTAGGCAACCGCATGCAAGCGGAGTTCGCGGCCACAGAGGATGTCACGAGAGCAGTTGCCATCACCGGCGTGTGGGTTCCGACGGCTGCTCTACTGAACTACTGTGGTGCAGGTGGATATGTCAGCGATGTTTCCCAGCCTGAGAAAAACAAGATAGCCAGCAAGAGTCAGATCTCACGGTTCGTTCCAGCTTTTCAGGTTGCACACGAGGTACCAATTGACCAAAATATGGGTAAAAAACAAAAAACTTCAATACTTAAGAATTCATTTGGAACACAGGAATTTTGTTTTAGAAATATTGTATCCAACTATTCCTGTAAATGTCCGCATTCCTAATAGGAATTTAATTTTTGGTCTGAGAGTTTCAGAAACATTGTGCATTCAGTGTTGTTTTCGGATTCATGACAGTGAAGCTTTAAACCCATATTCTTGGACAATTTTATCTTTTGCGATTTAATTGCTCTAATGATCGATGAAAGGTGTATTCTGAAGCAGGGGCGGATCCAGTAAAGGGTCACATGTACACCCAATAATTTTTGCAAAAACATCGAAGTTAGGAGGCTTGTCAATCAAATAGCTAAATAGCTTTAGGTTAGCGTTTCGGTGCTCAGCTTCGCACAGCATGAAGGGAAGAGAAGGGGTGGGACTGTGGGAGTACCTGGTGGGTGCTCGTCGACGGCGAAGAGACCAACGAAAGCCTCAGCACCTGGCTTAGGGCGGCGGCGGCAGCGGCCAACCAGTCGTCGGAGAGCGAGAGAGAGACAGAACGCACGGGATGCAGCGGAGGGGGTGTTGGACGGCGGAACGGGATGCAGCGACGGCCGGCCCAGTCGGGGTTGTTGGGCAGCGACAGCGCATCCGCACGGGCCTTCTTATGGGCCGTTTTTTTTCCCACACATTTCTTTAGAAAATTCTTTATTCTTGATTCTCAAAAAAAAAAGAAAATTCTTTATTCTTGATTCTAAAAAAAAAGAAATTTCTTTATCCTTAATTATTTTCTTCCTCTGCCTTTTTATATTTATTCTTCTTAATTTCATATCTATCCTCTTCATGGGACACTTTCAATGGCTAGTACAACATTGGTTTTAAATGATAGAAATAATAATGATATTTATGGGTATATAGTACATTGTAAATAAAATAAGCAAATGGAACTTTTTATATTTTATTAAGGTTGAACATTTTCTATTGAAGCTATAAGCCATTTTCATAAGAACATATAACAATTTCACAAACCAAAAACATTTTTTTTGTGTAAATCTATAACGAATTTTTTCTAAAATAGGAACAATTTTCTCTTTGTGACAATTTCTCAAGTGAACATAAAAATTTGTGCTACATGCCAGACGATTTAGAAGTTACAGGCCATTCTGAAACGGTAGTTGGGTGAGCAAATGCAGTTATAAGATCATCCAAACTTGGTCTCTGCAACTGAACCGAGGGCTCACTGGGCAGCAAAATGATTTGGAGCTCCGGCCACCCGACCGGCTCTAGCTCTTCCATGCACAGTAGAGCCGGAACTGGACAAAGATGTGCTAACGTACCATGCTCTTAACAGTTGGTCCTGAATGCATTCTGAATTTCTAACGCACCAGGGATGCTCTTAGAACTATTGATAATGCCACATGTTCCTTTGAATTATGGATTGTGCCAATACAGAATGTAATTTGTGCATATTATTTGAATTATACATTTCCCTTGCACTATGTGCCAGAAAAACCATCATAGGGGCAGGATGAATGCAAATACATGAAAGACAGCAATGCTTGCTCTCTTTCTTTCCCCCTACTTTTGAGGTATAAAATACAGTTGAATCCCATGACCACTAACCATCTATATTTGATTCTAAGGGAAAATTCAGTACACAATAGTTACCTACCAGCCAATTTTCCTTAGCATCACAACGTCAACCAAACGTTTTACATGTCTTACTGTCTAGTGCAAACGCAAAGCCATATATAGGCTATAGCTTGAATAGAGACAAGTCTTCTCCCCCGTGCCTCCTTGATTGTCCTACTCAAGAGCTGGTGCTCTCGGGTAGCGCAGATCGGTTCACGTTTTTGAGGATCCAAGTGAAAGTTGATATATATAGGTTTAGGATCTGCATATGTCGTGTGGTAAGGAAACCCTAGCTGGGCCTAATCGATTCGAATCGTCGTGCTCCTCGGTTATGGAGACTCGATCCTCTGCCCTGCATCATAGTTAATCAATAAAACAATGGAACATGGTGACTTACTGTTTACACTAAAATTTGGAAGAAGAGTCGCAGGGACTTGAAAGCTCCTAGGATCATGTCATCAAGGAATCAATTGCGTGTAGATCGGAACCAGCTGATTCAAATGCAACACTGGAATCGGCTTTCTTCAGGTAGCGCCAGCAGATAACGATAAATGCTACGATCAGCGCCGGGACAAAGCATGTTGGACTCTACAAAAAGGAAAATATTAGAGTCCAAGTTATCTTAAATTAGAAATGTTTTCTCTAGGGTCAAAGATTGTGATGAGTCGTGCTTAGATAGGAGTCATGCGTAGGTCCCGGATATAAATATCAAACCCGGCTATTGTAAAAGAGACACAATCAATCCAATACAAGTTATTTACTTTTTTCGGCTCCGTCCACCCCTTAGGAGTAGGAGTAGAGTAGATCTCGGCGAGTTCTTCATCAAGTATGGCTGCATCGATCCGGTCGACCTCCACTACTTGTCTGTAAGTACCATCATGGCTTATACCTCTGTACATACGGCTGCATCGATTCGGTCGACCTCCACTGCGACTCTGGTATAAGTTAGTTATCGATTCTTGTCTAGTTCAAGTACGGCTGTATCGATTCGGTTGATCTCCACTGCTCGAACTAGATTAAGGTCAAGTTATCGGCTCTATCTAAGGGTGACGTTCCTTCAGATAGATTAATTAAGTTACCGATATTGCTTATTGCTTCTATTGTTTATTTAATTACAGCAATATCACTTCGCCCGATTGGGATTGATTTAGATCGGCCTTATATCTTGTTTAACCCATCGTTTGTTAATCTGAACTGATCTAATCTGCACTTTAAATGATGAGTTATGTTTTATCGGCTGTTTTATATCAATCTTGATCGTGCATAGCGTGCGGTTAATGCATGTCTGATCTTGAGTAGATCTATTGGCTAGTGAAAATTATTCCATGGCCCGTTATCACGGCCTATGTGATTCTGCCTCACACCCCACTGTTAGCACCGTGGAGTGGGATCGTTATTTTGTAGATCTGTTCCTGAGAGGGCATGACCTTAACTGTGCGTTATGCCTGAATCGGCTGTTTTAGCCGATATTGAGCGCTTTCACAATTAGTTCACATTATGAGATCGTTGAAGTAGGGATATGTTGAAAGATGTGTTAGCCCCATGATCTTATTATTGTATTATGGCATGCATTATTCTGCCTCATGCCCCACTAATATTAGTGATAAGTTAGGGTTGTCGAGTCTATTGTTGTTTCTACGGCCTGCATGATTCTGTCTCATGCCCCACTGGTCATAGCGATAGATGAGATCTAACATGTTCATTAGATTTATCTTTATTAAATGGTTGAATGGTGATGAACTGTTTCTTTTATATAAAAGGGGTTCGGTTACTTGTAGTCATTGGCTTTGCATAAATTAATCATTATTGACATTCTTTTGCCATTGACCAATATTTATTTAAATAATGATATTCATCCTTAACGACAACCGATTCTTCTTACACAACCCCATGAGCTTTAACTAATTTATTCTTATGAATATGCTGAAATCGACTATTTAGTCGATCTTCTTTCATATCGGCTCTCAAAGCCGCACATTCGGGACTATTTGGCAACACCAGCATGTTCCACCCTAAATTACTGATAAACTTTCTCTCCTTATTAATTGTAGGGTCAAATGGACTGACACGTCTTAGGAGGAGTGCGCAGGATCGACCACCCCTGCGCTAAAGCTAGACGGATCTCTAGCTCCATCGAGCGAACCCTTCTAGCTTGCTCATGTGCCCTCGGCACGGGATGAAAATTCCATGTCAACACTTACGGACATGAGATGGAACGAGATGAGATGCTTAAAGAAGTGATTGATTTAGATCGGGTGCAAATTGGATACGATGATGACTTAATACGAAGCTAAAACACTAAAAGTAAGGATCCACTTATAGTAAGTTTTTCTACAAAAGTTATTCTTGCTTCCAACTTTTCTTGAAGCCTGCATACCCTTGGAGTCTTTTCTTTTAGTTGAGTAAGAGTTGTTGATGTCTAGGTAGCACCAGCTGGTAATGGTGATGTCCAGACAGTTCAGGGTTCATTTGAACAAGCTCAAGGTACTACTACGAATCAGATACAGTATAATCCTGGACCATCAGTACAGCATGTGCAACAGCCGGCGGGGCAAGGTCAGAACCAGGTGATCAATTTTGGCACATCAAGCCACATACCGTTGTCGGCTCAAAAAATAGCACCATTAATTAAAAGGATCCGTAGAGATATAGATTCTCATGTCTACAATCAGAGACTTCAAGCAGCAAGCCAGTAAATGACCCAACAAATAGATATTCCACAAGGGTATCACTATGGCACAGATTATGACACCCTTCACATGATATCGAATCTAGGATATCAAGGCACGCGAGATTTCAATCCACAAATGGGTCAGCAAGGGCAGAGAAATCCAAATCCGAATGCTGACGAGTTATTGCTAAAGGTGTCCGAGATGATGAAGAATCAGTTCGGTCTGAAGCCAAAAGGGCTGACCTTTCGTATAAACGCCCATATCTAGAATGGTATGATTTGATCACTCTTCCTGCAAATTACAGGCTTTCAGAGTTTGCCAAGTTCACTGGCCAAGACAGTACGAGCATGATAGGACATGTTAGTATCTTACATAATTGGGTGAGGTATCAGTTGAGGAGGCCCATTAAGTTCGTTTCTTCTCCTTGTCCCTGTCAGGGCCAGCCTTCACTTGGTTTTTATCATTGCCAGTCAACTCCATTACCAACTAGGCTGACCTTGAGAAGAAATTTCATACATATTTTTATACTAGGACTGGAAAAAAGAAGATTA